CAACGGAAAGATTCACAATGCCAACTTTTTTCTATTTGTGCCTACTATATTTTTTATGGAGGGATATGATATGATATGCAACCACAACGATGCTGAGTTATCTGTCATCTGCTCCACACAAGAGGAGATGGATAAATGCTTTGAGCTATTGAACGAACAGTCAGAGTACATAAAATTTACCCTTGAGAAACCGAAAGAAAACTGGCTTCCATTTCTAAACGTTCAAATCAACCTATCCGAAAACGGCTACAACACAAAATGGTATCGAAAGCCAAGCAGTGAGAATATAGTGGTTCATTACCGCTCACACACTAAAAGGGCGCTTATAAGAAATATGTTTCGAACCGCCGCCAGCGTGTGCACAGCTAAAGAGCAGAAGGAAGAATCGTCGAAACTGGCGCGCCAAATAACCATTTCAAAGGGTTACGAAACTATAGCTTCTTAGCATAGGCATAGAGGAAAAACCACGCGCCAGAGCGATAATTCTAGCGATGACAAAGCTCCGTTCCTTTTGCCCTTTATTTCAAACGAAATAAGTGTGGACATAAAACGTTGCTTAATAAGGGTCGGTCTAGAGAATTCCGTAAGAGTGATAGAAAAACCACCGGATACTCTAAGACGCCAGCTAGTTCACAAGCGCCCATACGTCCATCTACGTGCAACGCAAAATTGCATAATTTACCCCAATGGTAGAGACGGTGACTGCATGAGTTCGCGTCCAGTCTATCTGATCTCTTGTAAAGCGTGCGGGGACGCATACGTTGGCGAAAGGGGTAGACCACTCTGCGTCCGCATTAAAGAGCATCTCGTCGGCAAATCTAAATTAAAACAAAACACTCCACTTGGCGCACATAGGATGCAAGAACAGAACGGAGAAGATGTCCTCAGTGTCCTCAGGCACAAATCGAAAACATCAGCGCGTGAAACGGTTGAAGCGTTTTGGATCAATGCCAAAAATTCAAAAATGAACCGCAAGGAGGAGTGTCTTGTCATTACGCGTGACCTGGAGCCATACCTCAGGCTAATCCAATGACCTGACATNACCTCGGCATTGGAATATGAATGCGTCGTTTTCTTGTTCAGCAATCGCGAGGTTTTTAAACAGCATACATTTACTTCCATAGAGAAACACAACACAATACAACGCTAGCTGACGTTTCGGCAGTATCGCCTTCTTCAGAGCCTGGAAGGGTATGCTGATATACAATCTAACGGAAAAACTCTATGGTAATTACATGATCAACAGCTTCTCGAAACACTCACAGCTTTTTCGTGACTTCCAATGAGGAAGTTTAGAACAGCTGATTATAGTCGCATGTGGTTTGCGACTGCACCATCCCACATCAAAAACTATAATTCTAAACTTCCTCATTGGAAGTCACGAAAAAAGCGGTGGGTTTTTTCGAGAGGTTGTTGGTCATGTAATTACCAGAGAGTCTTTCGTCTTTTTGTAAGTGTTATTGAAGCGTTTGGCCTAGTAGATTGCATATCAGCATACCCTTCCAGGCTCTGAGAAGGCGATACTGCGAAACGTCAGCTAGCGTTGTATTGTGTTGTGTTTTTCTATGGAAGTGAATGTATGCTGTTTAGAAACCTCGCGATTGCTGGGCAGGATATTCATTGTGAAATATAACTTCAACGATGTTGAGATATTTGCAGAAGTCCGGACCGCAAGTGTATGCGGTGGGGAACAAACGCGCACTATTGTCCTTTCCGGAGAGTAGCGCACTTCACCACCACACCATCCGGGTCCTTCGTTTTGCCTGTCTCTCAGCTAGTTCTATCGATNAAACGGTGGGTGTTTGAATGAAGCTGTTTCTTATGCGAATGCAAATCGATTTGTCAAGTTTTATCTGCTGGGGTTATGAAAGTGTTTGGCTGAGTGGATCGCATCTCAATTTGACCTTTCCAGGCTCTCAAGAAGGCGAAACCACCGAAACGTCAGCTATTGCATCCTAATAAATTCTATAATAACAATCTCGTGTTTTAACCCTCTTATTTACTGCCTTTTTCTTTTTAATGGCAAGGTTTGTCGCGAAATATAACTCGTATATAATGCTGAGATATTTGCAGAAGTCCGGACCGCAGGTGTATGCGGTGGGGAACGAACGCGCACTATTGTCCTTTCCGGAGAGTAGCGCACTTCACCACCACACCATCCGGGTCCTTCGTTTTGCCTGTCTCTCAGCTAGTTCTATCGATCTTTTGCCATCAGCAATCACCCGTCAACGGGATTGATCTGAGAGGCCTAAATCGGCAACGAACCCAGTTAAGCTGAGGCTTAGTTATAATCACAATCTTAACCCTTTATTTACTGCCTTTTTCTTCTTAATGGCAGGGTATGTTGCGAAGTAGAACTCGTATGAAATGCTGAGATATTTGCGATAGAACTAGCTGAGAGACAGGCAAGACGAAGTACCCGGATGGTGTGGTGGTGAAGTGCGCTGCTCTCCGGAAAGGACAATAGTGCGCGTTCGTTCCCCACCGCATACAACTGCGGTCCGGAGTTTTGCAAAGTGGATACACTCAAGAAACATCCCAACTAGATATTTTTTTCGGCAACGACATGGAACTTCTTCAACAATCATTGATCCCATTAGGCTCGTCTGATTGAAAATTTAGAAACCCAACTGCAGAACCGAGTAACGATATTATCATCTCTACACTTCATAAACATTTTCACAGTATCATATCCCACTACTGTTATGACGATGATAAAACAGGTAGACAAGATTAAAATGAAATTAGATAAAGTGAAGCTCCTTTCGCTCGAAGAACACCAAGAGCAACATATCGAATTAGTTTGCTTTCATTTTTAAAATGTTATTACGGAAACGAGATTTCCTTGCAGATTTTAAAAATCACATTAGTGGTTCATCCTTTAAATTTTATACACTCCTTCTCCAGTGGACGACTTTGCCGAATCAGATTCCCGAAAACGCGAAACTAGAACTTCTGAGGAACATTCCACAAACCCTAATAAAAACTATAGTAAAATAAGAAATGTGTTTGTTTATGAAAGTTTTAGTTTTTTGCTTTATTTTCAGTTTCTTCTCTTCACCATCATTTTTTGTCTTATTATGTTGGTAATTGAAAACAACAATTTTTCTAACAGTGGTATGTACTGCGTTGTATTACAGTAATCCCATGCTTGTCTTTTTTTTTGGACCTAAAAAGATTTTTTTTAGAACTGTTGAAGTGAGGTTTTGCGAAAAGGCACTGAATAGATTAACAAACAAAAGATTATTTTTAGACAAATTAGTATAAATATTGCGAGCTAAATTAATATCGCATTAAAGCCAGCAAACACTTGCATTAATCACTGATTTCAAGCATCTGTTCTGCGACGATTTCGTAGAACTCTTAATTTACTCAACCTTTTAGAAGGTACAAGGTTACTTTTCTATGAGGAAAGTTTAAAATTTAACTTCCTCATACCCAGTTTCTTGCACGTGGTGTTATCCTAACAAAATTCAACTGTGGCAGCGGCTTTCGATGACTCTTAGTGATGACAGTAGCACTTATCGGTTCAGAAGCCTTTTGTTCATTGTGGTTTTATAAGGTTGGGTATTGTAGATTTGACATAGAGTCGATTCTAATGTATATCTAGAGTGTCTACCTCCCATAAGGAGCCAACTTTAGCTCGCGTCATGGGACCACTGGAAGGAAACTCGCACAGGTTATTAGCCTTCCAGGGTTGTCCCACAGCTAATGGGACTACGCCTAATATTGATGATCCTTATACCACATTCCACTTATAGATGAATGTGACCCTTTACGTTCCTTTTTGTACTNTGCGACGATTTCGTAGAACTCTTAATTTACTTAACCTTTTAGAAGGTACAAGGTTACTTTTCTATGAGGAGACTTTAAATTTAACTTCCTCATACCCAGTTTCTTGCACGTGGTGTTATCCTAACAAAATTCAACTGTGGCAGCGGCTTTCGATGACTCTTAGTGATGACAGTAGCACTTATCGGTTCAGAAGCCTTTTGTTCATTGTGGTTTTATAAGGTTGGGTATTGTAGATTTGACACAGAGTCGATTCTAATCTATATCTAGAGTGTCTACCTCCCATAAGGAGCCAACTTTAGCTCGCGTCATGGGACAACTGGAAGGAAACTCGCACAGGTTATTAGCCTTCCAGAGTTGTCCCACAGCTAATGGGACTACGCCTAATATTGATGATCCTTATACCACATACCACTTATAGATGAATGTGACCCTTTACGTTCCTTTTTGTACTTATTTGCTTGGTTCGATGTCAGATATTGCGCTGATCCCAGCTATTCTTTAACTCGATTTGTTCGCTATAGGCGTTATCTAGCCTTTGTGTATCGAACGAAGCTTTTACTGGATAATTCTGATATTAATTTGTCAAATTCGGAAAGGCGACAAGTTTCATGCATAGAGCCGAACCGATGAGGACGTGTGAAACGTCAGGCCTTTCTAACCACTACGCCCTTCTCGCTATTGATTCAATAGATTGGATGTTTAAGCATTAATATATGATAGAATTGCTTACGTGATACAATGAGTATAATTGTTAATAGAGTGTAACACGAGTAGTTTACATTTGGATTAGGTTTGAAATGGAGAAATTTAATAAAATCCCACAAGTTCGTAAATTCAAATTAAACCTCTTTTTTTCCTGAATAAAGAACAACTCTTTGATCGTATAAACTGCTGTTAAGCATTTAAGCCCGTAGAGATGAACAGCGCGTTTGTTTGACTTATTTCAAACAATCCACGCATAAACCATTTTGTTTTTATTTTTATCCCTTCCCAGATGCTCATTCTGCCTTATTCTTTTACATGTATGAAAGGTTGCTGTCAGCTCTGACGGAAGAAATGGGCCACATCAAAACGATTTTTCAATCTTTCGTCAGGATTTTATTATGCTAATAATAATAATAATAATAATAAGAGATAAATGGAAATTTATGGAAAGAAGGTATAATGACGACTAATTGTTGTTGACTGTTCTTCTTGTCTTCTAGATGGATTTATTGGATAGAATCGATTACGAGGATAAACAATTACTGAAGAGAAGTTGGGCCATACTTGAGAAGCACATCAACGATACCGCATACTGTATATTTGAAATGATATTCAATCAAAGTCCAGACACTAAACAGGTTCGTTTACAAATTTTTATGGCTAGCTCTTCAAAATCGATTCAAGGAGATTCCCGCGACCGACTTTCTATTAACCTCGGCATTGATCAAGTAATTCTTCGTATCCTTGTTGAGCAAACACGATGTGTTATTTTATTCTTTATTCACGAACAAGCTGACGTTTCAGCAGATTTCTCCTTCCTGAGAGCCTGGAAAGGTCAAGTTGACAGCAATCTATTCGACCAAACATCTCCATTACGAAAAAGAGAAAACGCTAAACCAAGATTTCAATCACATTGAACATTTGTTTGTTTTGAGCTGAACGAACAGTCAGACTATATCAAGTTCACGCGAGAGAAACCGAAAGGAAACCGGCTTCCAATCCTGAACGTAAAAATCAACCTATCAGAAAATGGCTACATTACGAAGTGGTACCAAGTAGTAAAAACATCTTGGTTCATTACCTCTCTTCTCACCTCTCCCACAAGAAAAAGGCGCATGTAGGAAACATGTTTCGAGCAGCAACCAACGTGTGCACGGGAAGAGAGCAGAGAGAGGAGTCCCGGAACTTGGTGCGGCAAATAGCCATTTCCAATGGCTACGAAACTGTAGCTCGGGATAGGTTTAGGGTAATTCGGAAGCACCCCATCGACAACTCTAGCGATAAAAAGGTCATGTTTATCCTACCCTCCATCTCAAATGATGTAAGTGCAGCTATAAAACGCTGCTTAAGAATAGTGGATTTAAAAAATTCGGTAAACGTGGTTGAAATGTCACCGAGTAATCGTAGGCGCCAGCCAGTTCGTAACCGCCTATATGACCGTCTATGTGTAACGCAAAATTGAATAATTTCCCCCAATGGTAGACACGGTGATTGAATGGGCTCGGGTACAGTTTATCTGATCTCTGTAAGGCGTGCGGAGACGAATACATTGGCAAAGCGAGTAGACCACTCTGTGTCCTCATAAGAGAACAGCCAGCCTGCAAACGTAAACCAAATACCGTAGGCACGTGTAGGACCCAGAGACATGACGGGGAGAATTTTGAAGTACGTGTCACGATCCTCGCGTAAGAATCGAGAACTCATGCACCAAAAACTCTCGAGGCGTTCTGGATTAATTCCAGAAATCCAAAAATGAATCGCAGGGAAGATTACCTCATTATTACGCCTGATATTGGACAGCATTTAAACCTGTTATTCTGATGGGAGGGGCACATTACGCTTCCATGTGAATTCTGTGCGGCCAGTCTACACACGACATACTCAGTGAAAGACTCATAGAAAGCAGTGAGTATGCAGAGCTGTCTTAAATGTGATTGAAATCTTGGTTTAGCGTTTTCTCTGTTTGGTTATGGAGGTGTTTGGCCGAATAGTTTGCTGTCAAGTTGACCCTTCCAGGCTTTGAGGGAGGCGAAATCCGCCGAAACGACAGCTTGTTCGTGAATAAAGAATAAAGGAGAATCTTCCTCGAAAGCTGAAATCTCGAATGAAGTTGCTTTTTTTTATCGTAACTTAAATTAGCGCTAAATTCATCGTTTAGTATATTATTGGCAACAACGAAATTGAATCACTGACATGAAAAGCTGCAACTATTTTGAAAATTTAAAAAAAGAGAGCGCAGTAAACCAGTACGGTGATTTTAGCTCTTTCCATTCATGAAGATAAAAGCAGCTGGTGATTCGAAACGTTCGCGTGAAATGGAATTTCATGCCTTAAGATTCATGCAGGTAATTTTCTAGCTTACTTATCTCTAATGACCGAAGGCTGTCATCGCGTGAAAGCTTCTGCGCAAATTAGGGTGGATTACGTGGCTAGCGATTACGTTAATGATGAAAAAGGTTAAACGTATGCCTATAAAGAGCCTAACACTGGCGTATGGACGAGGATGAAATAATGAGAAGGGTTTATTGCTTTTGCTGCAAAGACAGATTGAATTAAACCTTATTTTTTGTACGCTGTCGTACGTACCAGCGAAAAGCAAAACAATAAAGCCTAACACCTTGGTCAATTCCTTAGAGATACGAATTGGACACCAGTAGGCTTCGTAACGGCAGATAGCGCGGTGGTAGTGATTACGAGCACGATCTCGGTTCGATCTCGCTCCAGGACCACCAAGCTTCTCGTCTCTTCAACGCCGGGAATACCGGGATCGATCGGGAAAAAATCTCTAAAAAAGAAAAAGTATAAAAATAAGCATATGTACATGTGCATATATTCTGTGAGTATGCCTATCTATCTGCCTGCATTCAGTTTTATCCTGAGTCCATATAGCTAGCAGTCATTAGTTAGATACTTAGGTATCTAAAGAAGCATGGATTCTTTAGATACATTTAGATAGAAAGAAGGCTTGAAGCAACAACTCTGGCTTCTACTTTTTGCGATCTAAACAAATTAACTGGATATAAGGATATAATTAATTAGCTTTTAAATTAAAGCCTTAAAAAATGTTTAGCCTAGCGGACACGATAATTAACGAGTTTCATGAGACTCTATGCACTTTGTATCCGTAAATTAGGCGGAAATAATCAAAGGCTCTACTACGTGGCACTCGATAACTGAAAGGATTTGGGAGAATTTTTTTTGCACGTTTTAATGATGTTTCAATTCGAATAATATTTCTTGTTTGAAGTTCTATTTTATAATTCAAAGATCGATCTCGATTTCAGGTACTGGAATCCGTTGTGAAAACTTTGGACAACCCGTCCAGTCTTGATCCATTATGCGATAATCTCGGTAAAGAAATAGAGAAAAAGTCATTTCCTTTTAAATTTCTCATAAAGTCCTTTTCAAGTTAAACGGCCAATACTTTTCGAAAACGTTCATAGCCAAAAAATAACTAGTGTTTTTTCAAAAGAATTTGCTTCAAACTTGTTTTGCTTAGAGTTTAGAACTACTTCATCTGCTTATGCTGTGATGCTGAGATATTTGCAAAGCTTAAACCCCAATCGGAACTACTTCATCTGCTTATGCTGTGATGCTGAGATATTTGCAAAGCTTAAACCCCAATCCTGATTCGATTTACTATTTTATTTCATTTTTTAATTTTTATTTTTTTTCGTAATATTATAACATCATACATATAATATATAACAGGACGCATGTGGCGCAGTGGTCGGAGGCGCCCTGTAACATACACGTGGAATCGATACCCGCGCCCATGGCCCGCCAAGCCTTCCACCCGTCTAGAGTCGGCAAATTGGTACCAGACTTGTCTGGGAGGATAGCAGTACTGTCTTGATACATCGGTGGGCCACCGTGACTCATTGTAAAGGCTGGATATGCGTGGAATCACCTCCAAACGATGCTTAATGAAGTGCAACGCATGGTGCATCCCTCAGGAATTGATCAACGCTGACAGCTTAATCCTTTTATCCTTTATTAATGTTATAACATACATTTTTTTCATGGGATAAGTTTTTATCACTTTGTTGTTTTTAGTTTTCTTTATTGTTTGCTGCCGTTTGATTCATTTGTTTCTTATTTGCTGAATGTTTTATGCCAGTTTTATGACGATAATTTTATATTTTACAGATTTTACTGTATCTTGATATTATCTGATATTTTAGGCCGTGTACATGGACGTCTCGCCGAATCTCGTGGATTCAAAGCTCATCACTGGGGTGTTTTCATCGAATGCACATTGTTTCATTTTCGACGAGTCTTAAGCGGGGTAGTTCTCAACACTTCACATTTTTTTATCGTTGTAAAGTTAGTAAGTAGTGTAAAATAACACCACTAATCTAGATGTGCGTTTCTTTGTGGTTGAATAGGAAAAAACTAAAGATTGTCTTTTAAGCCATTTCGCTACAACATTCATATTCTATATCATTCGAGTAAATATAGCCATTTTAACTCGACTTAGATTTGCAATAATGCAGAAATCTGTTGATTTTTGAGAAATTCCTTTCCAGGATCATCACTTCAACGCTCTTTCAGTCCTGGACAGAAGTGTAATTGTTTGGCGTACGGTGTTGCGGATATTAATCAAACGAATGAAGGTGAAACCTTCTGAATTACCTTTTGTTTATTTTTGCATTATCCACTGAGTTCCTCGGAACGGGCTGTGGAACGTAGACCATGGAACGTCAATGATTCGGTTCGGCATCGAGAAGAACGCAAAAAGAACCGAAAATATGAGAGTGTAGCTCGACGTCGACTAGCAATTTTAGTTTTTATTGATTAGTATTACCTAACTGTTTTCTTACTCTTTTGATTTATATTTTAAACAGCAAGGACGCGCGTGGCTCAGTGGTTAGAGAGATACTGTACACACAACGTACTTCGTTCGATCCAATATTAAGGGGTCTCCAATACTTCCTTTGTCCCGGGATTGAGAAATTGGTACCAAGTTTGTCTGAAAGGATAAAAATGCTTGCTTGATACATTGGTTAGGCTATAGGTTTTATTATATAGGTTAAATATGTATTCAGTCACCTCTACAATACTCGACGAAGTCGGATGCATGGCGCTCCCATGAAGGGTTCATCAACGTCGAACGATTTATCTTTTCTCAGTAATACTTGGATGCTTGGATGACGCGCCTTCACCGGTTGTGCGGGCTGTAGCATAATTTTTATTTTTTCGGAGTTTCCTTGGCTTAGCATTTGTTATTCCCTGGAGTCCCGAAGTCACCCTGGCCAAAGTCTGCCCCAGGTCTTCACCACCACAGGCAGTCGCAGCGCTTGTGGACCAGGAAATTTGCCACCATACGACTAGTTTGTTACCACGACAGTGGTTGATCCTAATATTGCTTTACTCTTACCTGAGCTTCTGGAGGAAAACGCCGAACTCCGTCTCACCAGCTTGGGAGGCGCTTTTGGTGAGATAAATCCTGCTCATTGTACATCGCAGCCCAACACCCAGGAACACCCCCAACCACGATGAGGCGGTAGAACTTTAGAAGGTTCATCCGTTATATTAAATAGTAATTTGAAAATTGCTGTGTAAAACAGCTTTTTGCATAGCTATACTCGTGGTTCATTCAGGTCGGAAGCACATTGCATTCAGTTCAAGAAAACCACTTTTCTTTTAAATGAGGAACTTTGAAATCAGTTAATGATTCTGAAGTGTGTTCCTTCAAGGTGATTCTTTCCTTATCAGGTCGGCTTTATGACGGATCTAAAAATCGCCGAGCTAATCGAGAAGTCGAAGACGCCACATCCTCTTCAGATTACAGCCCTGTTGCCGATCCTAGTAAGTGGCATCCTGTTTTCTTCAAACAGCAGGAACATGTCTTTTGATAATTTCTAAACGTGCTTAATTTTGTACCTCTGAAAAATTTCCAAACATGCTGTTATCTACATTAACAAAAACTCCGCAAAATATGCTTAGGATTCCCATTTAGATTCGCGAAAAGATTTTCTAACTTTCTCAGATTCTCATTTTTGTTTCGTTTCGTTTGCATGAAGTGGCTCTTGATATGTTGTCATAAGACTAAGTGATTTCTTCTGTCACTTTCCCGCATAAGGAGTATTGAAGATTTCGGGAGCTTCAATATTTTCAACTTATAGAATTTTTTGGCAAAACTGCGGACTGCAGGTGTCTTGTAAAAGGTAGTAAATAAAAGGTCCACATTATGAATTTCAACTACAGCCCCAGCTTAATTGGGTCCAATGTCGATTTGAACTTCCCAGATCAATCCCGTTGACGGACGATTACTGATGGCGGTGATCGGTAGAACCAACTGAGAGACAGGCGAAAGAAAAGACCTGCCTGGTGTGGTGGTCAACACGTTAGCCCTCAAAGAGGGTAATAGCGCGTTCGTTCCCAGCCGGAGACTTCTGCTGTCCGGAGTTATGTAAATATCTCAGCATTATTGTGATTGTTTCCCGAATTATACCCTGCTGTAAAAACTTGCAAAAGGCAGTAAATAAAATATCAACACTACAGGATTTTGTCAGATGCTGTCAGAATAAATGTTAATTTCAAGCAGAAGTGGGACTTATTCGCTCTTATCTTACACTGAGCGCTCATCTTTCCGTTGTGGCCGAGCAAAGTGTTGCGGAACTTCAATTCACTGACTGTCGTTATCTTTTGCTTCTTCTCTAAGTCTGTCAAATTTCTTTTTTTTTCTAGTACTAGTCGGTTAAAATGACCAACATATTTCGTTCAATCAAAGCGTTGCAAAACCTTCTATTATGGTCTTTTCGAAGCAAGAAATCATTTAGGAACCAAGTGTAGTCCTCGTTTGTTGCTCGTTTGACATCCTTCGAAAGGGCGATCTTTTCATCTCTTGCCTTTAACACCTAATGACGTCGATTAAAATCCTATTCCTTTTCTCATTGTTTATAGCGTTTATCTTTTTAGAATATCTGCAACTGACTACTTC